AGCCCAGGAGGGGTGAGGGAGGAGGGAAGCGCCAGGTGGGGTGGGGGAGGACGGAAGGACTAGGACACACTGCACTTTAAAACTTATTGAAGGCCAGCCTTCTGTTGCTTGGGCAATCCTCTGGGGTGGAGTGACTGGGTGGCCGGAGGCCCCCCTTCCGCGTTCTTGGGCGTCTGGGTGAGGAGGCTATGGAACTTGGGGAGGAGGGCTGTTGGTTACACAGGGGCTGTAGTGGTGGTCTGTGCTCCTGCTGCCTTTCCTGCAGCTCAACCATATGCTGGAGCATATCAGTTTGATGCTCCAGCAGCCGGAGCATCGACTCTTGCCTTCTGTCACAAGCTGACGTCACTTACTCTCTTCAGCCCGCCATTCAGCCCGCCACCTCTCTTCACGTTCATATTGTGCTTTCCTGCTCTCTGACATTGTCTGCCTCCACGCATTCTGCTGTGCTCTGTCAGCATGGGAGGACATCTGGAGTTCCGAGAACATCTCATCCCGAGTGCGTTTTTTCGCCTTCTAATCTTTGCTAGCCTCTGTGAAGGAGAAGCATTTGCAGCTGGTGGGGGAAAAGGGAGATTGATAGTTAAAAAGATACATTTTAGATAACAATAGGATCACTCTTTCCCTTTAAACCTTGCTGTTCACATTACACAGCACATGTGCTTTTGTTACAAGGTCGCATTTTGCCTCTTATTTATATTGAGGGCCTGCCGGTTTGGTGTGAGAGATCACTCACGCAGTGCCAGGCAACAGAATTCGGCTTGCAGGCAGCCATGGTAAGCCACAGTCTTTTGGCTTTTTTAACCTTCTTAACATGTGGGAATGGTTTAAAACACCAGCGCCCTCATTTCCCATACCAAGCGTCCATTGGGTTGACCATTTAAAATTGGTTTTCAATTTAAAAGGAGAGACTGCGGTTTGCAGGTTAGCGTGCAGCACAAACCCAAATACCCCCCCCCACCCACACACACACGCAATTCTCTGGGATGATCACTTCACCCCTCCCCCCACCGCGTGGCTAACAGCTGGGAACATTTCTGTTCTGTTACACAGCCAAACAGCCGAGCAGGAATGGGCACCTCTGAATGTCCCCTTAATAAAAGCACCCTATTTCAACCAGGTGACCGTGAATGATATCACTCTCCTGAGGATAACACAGAGATAAGGAACGTATGTTGTCTGAATGCCAGCAAACACCGGGACCATACGCTGCCATGCTTTGTTATGCAATGATTCCAGACTATGTGCTACTGGCCTGGCCTGGCGTGGTAAAGTGGCCTACCATGGCTGACGGAATAAGGCTGCACTGCCCAGAAACCTTTTGCAAAGGCTTTGGGAGTACATCCAGGAGAGCTTTATGGAGATGTCCCTGGAGGATTTCCGCTCCATCCCCAGACACGTTAACAGACTTTTCCAGTAGCTGTACTGGCCGCGAATGCCAGGGCAAATGAATCATTAAACACGCTTGCTTTTTAACCTTGTATAATATTTACAAAGGTACACTCACCAGAGGTCCCTTGTCTGCCTTCAGGGTCCGGGAGCACGCCTTGGGTGGGTTCGGGGGTTACTGGCTCCAGGTCCAGGGTGAAAAACGTATCCTGGCTGTTGGGGAAACCGGTTTCTCCGCTTCCTTGCTGTGAGTTATCTTCAAACTCTTCATCATCATCTTCCTCGTCCCCAAAACCCGCTTCCATGTTGCGTGATTCTCCATTGATGGAGTCAAAGCACGGGGTTGGAGTAGTGGTGGCTGCACCCCCTACCATGTCATGCAGCTTAGTGTAGAAGCAGCATGTCTGCGGCTCTGCTCCGGACCTTCCGTTTGCCTCTCTGGTTTTGTGGTAGGTTTGCCGTAGCTCCTTAATTTTCATGCGGCACTGCTGTGCGTCCCTGTTATGGCCTCTGTCCTTCATGCCCTTTGAGACTTTTTCTAATGTTTTGGCATTTCGTTTACTGCTACGGAGTTCAGCTAGCACGGATTCGTCTCCCCATATTGTGAGCAGATCCCCTACCTCCCGTTCGGTCCATACTGGAGCTCTTTTGCAATCCTGGGACTACATCATGGTCACCTCTGCTGATGAGATCTGCACTCACCTGCACCTTGCCATGCTGGCCAAACAGGAAATGAGGTTTAAAAGTTTGTGGGCCTTTTCCTGTCTACCTGGCCAGTGCATCTGAGTTGAGAGCGCTGTCCAGAGCGGTCACAATGGAGCACTCTGGGATAGCTCCTGGAGGCCAATACCGTTGAATTGCGTCCACACAACCCCAGAATTGACCCGGCAAGGCCAATTTCAGCGCTAATCCCCTCGTCGGAGGTGGAGTAAAGAAATCGATTTAAAGAGCCCCTTTAAGTCGAAAAAAAGGGCTTCGTCGTGTGGACGGGTCCAGGCTTAAATCGAGGTAACGTTGCTAAATTCGACCTACAATCGTAGTGTAGACCAGGGCTGAGAGGAGCCTGCGTAGCTCCTGCTTGCATTGTACCTGGCTCCAGAAGAGTTAAATACAAAAAGTTATTTTAAAAAGAAGGCGAGACTCTTTAATGTACTTAAAAACTAAAAAGAGAGTGAAGAGCCCTACTTTGGGAAGGGTGGGGAGCACTAGTTATTCCGGATGCTGCCTCTCTGTTGTGGTTGTGTGTGACTCATAGAGTGAGCAGTTTGTGGCCCTGATGCACACCTCTCAGTGGCCTGTGGTTGTGCCTGGCCTCTGGAGGTAAGACATCTCATCTCATTTGCTGCTTCTCTTGACATTTTACCAGCTCAGATGCTCCATCAAGGTCAGAGTGACAGACATAGCAATTTCCTGCAATATCCAGGACAAACCTGATTGGATTAAGTTAAACCTTTTTGAATTAAGTTTAAGTATGTTTACAGTCTATTGTATTTAAAATGTGAAGTTTGTGTTATTGTGGGTTTGTATGTAACGTCTTCTGGGGGAGACCTGGCTAGTGTAAACCTTGGGAAGTGTTATGAGCTTCAGAGGAATATTTTAAGCAATGTTCCAGACAAACAAATATAAGTGGGGTTCTAGAAAATACCTGCAGATTGGTAAATGCAAATGACCACTTCCAGCTATGTAGAGACCCAGCCTTTTGAAGCTTCATCCCGAGGAGGGGACCATTGTCTGGCTACTTAGGTATTCATGGTCTCTGCAGATCAAAGACCAAACTGTGTAAAGGGGTGACTCTCGGATTCAGGGTGAGCTTGTTCTGAGCTAACAGTTGATATGAACTTGTGTCACGGAGTGTGGGGAAGTCAGGGCCCTGCACCCCTCTTCCTGCGATTCACCATGACTGTCAGCCAGCCAGTAAAACAGAAGGTTTATTAGATGACAGGAACACAGTCCCAAGCAGAGCTTGTAGGTACAACCAGGACCCCTCAGTCAAGTCCTTCTGGGGGTGGGGTTTAGGGAGCTTAGACCCCAGCTTTGGGGTTCCCTGCGTTTCTCCTCCCAACCCAAAACTGAAAGCAAAAACCCCCTCTACCCGTCTCTCTCCCCCTTCCCCCAGCTCCTCCCCTCCCTTTGTCCAGTTTCCTGGGCAAAGGTGTCACATGGCAGCACCCCCCTCCTGGCTCAGGTTACAAGCTCAGGTAACCCTCAAGTAAAATCATCCCCTGCGATCCCATCCCTAATACAGACAGTCCCAGTTAAACTAGACCACATTCCTGAGTCAGTCCGCCCCGCTCTCTACTGTGTCACAACTTGTGACCACAGAAAACCCCCATGGTGGAGTTTGAAGGACCAATCACATGTCGGAGCCCTTGCTGGAATTGAGGTGATCTCCGGTAAGCTGATTAGTATGCCACACGTGTAGTTTCTTTTACTTTTTTAATATCTTTTCTCTGTAGTGCTTTCACCTTAAGAATAAATGTGCTTGCTTAGGACAAGCTGTTCTGTAATTTATACCTATCGGCAATTACACTGTTTATTGCCTCTGAGGCAAAGCAGGCTAGCTTAGGCAGTCTGACTTGCTGGGGAACTCACAGTGTAGGAAGAGAGCTGTGCAGTCTGGAAAAAACCCGGTTAGGAGGGAGAGAGACATGTGTCTCCATCCAAGAGAGGTGGTGGCTGGGGATCTGGAAGCCTGAGAGTGGGTTTCCTTTGCTCAATCATAGAGGGGGAATACAGGGGCAGTTGCACTGAACTGTGACCTATACACCTTCCCCCAGATACTTCCTAGGAACCCCACCTAACTTTGTTTGTTTAAAATAGTCCTTTGAAGTTCACAACACTTCCCAAGGTTTACAAGTCTTCACCCTAGTGAATCCCACAATAATACATACATTTTGTGTTTTTAATACAGTGGGCTCCAAAGATACTTAAACTTAATTCAATAAGGTTTAACTTAATTCAGCAAGGTTTGCCCAGGATATTGCAGGAAATCACCATGTCTGTCACAAAGGGAATTTCCAGGGCAGCATAAACCTTCTGGATAAACCAGAATGATCAGAGTTACAAAGGATGGAGCGAGAAAGGCCTAGCTGGCCTCATCTAGTCTATTCTATGGGGTTTTGACCGGGGTTGTTCAATGCAGCGTAGTCACCAGGGTAAAATTTTCAGGAAGCTTTTCTAACGGTTCCTGAGATTCACAGATGCCCTGTGGTGAATGGGATGGGGAAGCCTGTGCTGGCATGCAGGGTGATGTAGATATCTGACATGTAGATTGAGTGATCTCTGAAGCAGAGTCTATTTCCTTGATGTTTGTCTGTACAGTGCCTAGCACAATGGGGCTCTGATCTTTGATTGGAGTTTCTAGGTGCTACCACAATATAAATAGTAACTATAGGAAGAGTGAAGCAAGAGAAGGGTTAAATATGAAGCAGCAGCAGCACTGCTGTCTCAGAGCCCCATTATGATTGGGCTTTGCTCCGTGTGGATGTTACTCTTTCCCCGTGGTTTGACATGGCATTTATGCATGTGGGGTTGGTACAGTGCCAAGTGCTCTGTGTATGAGTTAGTGTCTCAGGAGGGTTCAGTGATCCAGCCTCTTCTGTTGTCTGCAGCTGTGGAAAGGGCGTACAGACCCAGTCCTCCACATCGACCTGAGGCGCTGGGCCGACCTGATGCTAGTGGCTCCTCTTGATGCAAATACACTGGCAAAAATAGCAAATGGCATCTGTGACAACTTACTGGTGAGTTACTGTCCGCATCTGGGCCATTAGTTGCCCTGAATACTGGCTGAGGACATCTTTCACGCTCTTTTTCCTCATCCCTCTATTTTTTCCACTGTGCCTCTATTCTGTTTTCCTTTTCATGCAAGCTCTTTGGGGCAGGCACTATGTTGTTCTGTGTTTGTATAGTGCCTAGTGAAATGGAGCCTGGATCCATGACTAAGGCTTCTAGGCATTAAAATATTACTACTACTACTACTACTAATAAATAATGCCTGCTCTTTCCCCCAGCTCCCTCCTTATACCTCTCTCTCTCTTCCTCTTCACATCCTTCTTCATCTCCCTGGCTCTTCTCTCATGGTGTTCACCCGCCATCCCTTTTCCTATATTTCCTCCTCCTCCTTTTCCTGATGCATGATTCTTCTTCCTCTCCTGCACCTTAGAGCCTCTCCATCTCTCCGTCTCTCTCTATCACACACCCACTTTCTCACTCTCCAGTTCCTTTTCCTTTCTGTGTTTTAGATGCAGTCTAGAAAGACACCTGTGAGATCAGATAAGTTTGTTTACTTCCTGCTAGTCCTCACTCCCTCACCTAAAAGCATAACATGGACATCCACCCACCCACACTCACAGATTTATCTTCCAGTTTCAGCCAGAGGTCTTTTTGGGGGCAATGCTGTTTTCTGGTACCTCAAGTAGGTTGGGGTGGGTGGAAGAAGGGAGTCAGCTCCTGTATTTGGGTAAGACAGACTACCCAAGAGCCCCCTGTACACCCAAGTGCTTTGGGACCAGAGATTGGTGCTCTTTAGATAGGGAAGGTCACCGAATTTTAGACACCTAAGGAATCTTCAAAGAGAATGCAAATCTGCACATACAGCGCTGGTGTAAACCAGTTCAGTGCCCCTCAAAAATGAGTTGAGGGTGGGTTGGGATGTAGGCACATAAAATCTCAAAAGGAAATTTGTGTGGACAGGTGCCATTCAGGTCAAGAAACTCTGAATGGCTGAACCCCAGTGCTAAGGAAAACCACAGTGCTTGTAAATGAGTAAAATACAGCTGGAGTGACAGGCTTCACCTATGAGTGTCTAGAATGTCTCTGGAAGTGTCGGCTTAGCAGGAGGAGCATTACACGGCCCAGGGGACAGATCCCATCTGTCAGTGACACACAAGATTACAACTCTACAACTGCTAGCCTTTTTTGGCAGGGAAATAAAATAACATAGATGTATGAAACAGGCCATTAAAGGTTTCATTTGGAAGCTTGGAGGGGATCAGACCTAACAGAATTAGATTTTGCCTGTACTGGAGAAAGTTCACATCATACGGTACAAAACAACAGGTAAAAGGTTTACTGAACACAAGATGACTACAGCTAGGGTGACCAGACGTCCCGATTTTATCGGGACTGTCCCGATATTTCCTTGTTTGTCCCGCGTCCTGACCGATGTGCGGTCGGGACACTGGACAAACAAGGAAATGCTCCGGAACCTGGAGCCCGGAAATGCTCACGGTCCCCCTCCCCCCCGCCCCAACTCCGCCCCCTCTACCCCCCATTGGCTCCCTCCCCGAATCCCCGCCTCTTCCCCAGGCTCACCATTCCTCCTCCCTCCACAAGCATTGGAGGGAGGCCCCGGAGACGCAGGGGGAGCGTGGGGCCGGGGTGGTGAGAGTCCGGCCTGGCCCTGAGCAGGCAGGACTCAGTCGGGCGGTATGGAGAGTAGGAGGGCAGCCCGCGGCTGTTCTCCCCCCCGGCAGCGGGACTCGGGAGCAGCCGCTGCTGCAGCTCCCTCTGCCGCGGGGGGAGGAAGCGGCCGATGGACAAGCTCGGCGGCTGCAGCTCTGGCACCCGGGCCTGAACCCCCCGAGCCTGTTCCCCTGCAGGACCCGAGCGGGCCAGGGGAGCTGGGGCCTGCTGCTCCCACTCCGGGGCCGCTGTGGGGTAGCACCAGCTGGGCAGCAGCCCAGACGCGACTGGCCACGGGCTGGGCGCAGTGTGTGCGCTGCTGGGTCCCCGCAGCAGGCCCGGGCTCGGGGGGTTCGGGCCCAGGCGCCAGAGCCGCAGCCACCGAGCTTTGCCATGGGCCGCTTCCTCCCCCCGTGGCAGTAGGAGCTGCAGCAGCGGCTGCTCCCGAGTCCCGCGGCCCGGGGGGAGAACAGCCGCTGCCTGGCCCCGCGAGCCGCCCCCACTACTCTCCCTACCGCCCGACTGAGTCCTGCCTGCTTGGGGCCAGGCCGGACTCTCACTCGGCCAGGCCGGACTCTCACTCACCCTGGCCCCACGCTTCCCCTTCGTCTCCTGGGCCTCCCTCCAGCGCTTGTGGAGGAAGGGTGGTTGGTTTTTTTGCCCCATCCCCCTCCACCCCGATATTTGACTTGGGTGATCTGATCACCCTAACTACAGCTGAGATACTATTCCAAGGACAAATGCAAGTTGTTCTTCGAGTAGTGTCCCTACGAGTGCTCCACTGTAGGTGTATCTGTGCCCTTGCACCTCAAATCGGCAATTTTAGGTAGCAGTGTCTATTCAGCCCATACGTGTGTTCTCCCTCCCTCATGGTCTGCCTCAACCCTATCTAACACTGTGCGGGCGAACCCCCCTCAGTTCCTTCTCAACTGTCTTTGGCCTCGAATGGAGCGACCAGTTGTTCCTTCCTTATCTGCATCATTAGTATTGATTCAAAGACTATCCAAATGGGTCTCGAGTTGCATTAATTATTGTTATCAAGGGCTCACCCTGTTGCCTGCGTCCTTAATCCATATGCATTCTGCAAGGTTAATTTCTACGTTGGTTGCATTCCTTAAGGATGTTCCTATCTCGGAAATCTGCAGAGCAGCGACTTGGGCCTCTGCCCATGCTTTCGCAGAATATTATGCTATCACTGGAGATTCAGCCTCTGATTCCATCTTCGACTCCACACTACTTTCTATAGTAACAGACGCCACTCCGAAGCCTTGGCCGTCCATGGGGGATACTGCTGTAAAGTCACCTGCAGTGGAGCACCCATAGGGGCACTACTTGAAGAAGAAGTGGTAGTTACTCACTTTGTGCAGTAACAATGGTTCTTTGAGATGTGTCCCCCTGTTGGTGCTCCACAACCCGCCTTCCTTTCCTCTAGCGTTCTCCATAAGGGGATTTGCGGTAGAGAAGGACCTGAGGGGGTTCGCCTGCGCAGTACTAGATAGCCTC